CTCTCCCTCTGCCTACTCTTGCTCCCTTTCCTGCACAAGTGTTATTCCTGAGAGCTATCCCCAGTAAATTTCCTGCTCTTCCATCCTATCTCCAGAGTGTACTTCCCTGGAACTCTGTCTTCTACAGCATAGTGGGTTTTCTTTAGACCTGAAGGACAGCTAGAGTTAGACTAATTAATAACTGAAACCAATGACATGTTATTGGGAGAAGTATTAAGGTTTATTATGTTTCTTAATATTTTTATTTAAAAGTTTCTTCTATTTAAATAAAGTGTAATACACACTATTAGTTAACATGTGAACATCTCTATGCTTTACCTTCCTGTATAGCATGAGTAGAAAAAAATCATTAAGAGTAGTAACAATATGCTAATCCAGGTTCTCTGATAACTACCTGTAAGGAAATCAAGCAGATCAGACTAAGAGACCATAATCTAGGCAGTATGCAGGTATGTACATATATGGGGGAAAGGGAGAATCCATAATCTTCATGGCTTTTTCAAAGGAGTCTGTGACACAAAGAAGGTTAAGAAATTGGAGCATTGGGTCCCAAACTGGTTTCTTAAGGATCATCAGCTAAGAAAAATCTCTGGTCTTTGTCATGAGAGTTTTTATTTTATTGGAATGGGGTGGGGCTCAAAAACTTCTTTTTCAACAAGTTCTCCAGATGATTCCAAAAATAAATTAAGTGGACCATAATTTGAAAAATAGCGACCTAAGGACTAAAGTATACTTCTATATTAGCTTTCTATTGCTGCTGTAACAAATGACCACAAATTTAGAGGCTTAAACACCAGAAATTATTATGTGACACTTCTGGAGGTCAGAAGTCTGACATGGTATCTCAATGGGCTAAAATCAAGATATCAGCAAGTCTGTGTTCCTCTCTGGAGGTTCTTGGGGAGAAACTTCCTCACCTTTACTTGCTTCTAGAGGCCATCTATATTTCTTTGCTGGAGTTCCTGTTTCCCCTTCATCAAAGCCGGCAATGTTGCATCTCTCTGAATTTTTCCCAAAGTCAACTTATTCTTTAGTAGTCAGATCTCCCTTTGACTCTCTCATCTGTCTTTTTCTTCTAATTTTAAGGACTCTGTGATCACTAGACCCCCCCTTAATAATACAAGAAATCTCCCCATCTTCAGGTCAGGTGATTAACAACTTTAATGCCACCAGGAGCATTAATTCTGGGGCACCTAGGTGACTCAGTTGGTTGGGCATCTGCCTTTGGCTCAGGTCATGATCCCAGGATCCTGGGATCAAGCCCCGCATCAGGTTCCCTGCTCAGCGGGAAGCCGGCTTCTCCCTCTCCTCCCCACTCATGCTCTTTTCTCCCTATCTCTGTCTATCTCTCTCTCAAATAAATAAATAAAATCTTAAAAAAAAAAAGGAGCATTAATTCCTCTTTGCTGAATAACTTACTCACAGGTTCCAGGGATTAGGATTTGGGCATCTTTGGAAGGTCACTATTCTGCCTACCACAAGTTCTTTTGTAGTGCCCAGGAAAAAAAGTCATTTTTTCCCTAATGTTATGTTTAATAACTCAGTTAATAAGGCTTCCACCCTTCACTGTTATAAAATTATCTGGTCAGTAGAATGAATAATCACTGGAATTACTGAACTGAAATGCTATTTAACTTTCTGTTATTAATAAATAGTACTTAGTCATACCCACAGGCCTAGAAGCTCCTTGAAGTTAGGCACCCTGTCTTGTCACTTTTGTTTCTGTGACTTTTATTTTTACTTCTTGTCAAGTAATAGACACACAGATAAGGTCACTGAATAACTGTCATGGTTAATTATGTTCATGAATTAATAAAACCAAAGGTCTACTCTCTCTTTTAATGACTCTTCCACAGAGCAGCTAAGAGACAGCATGATTCAGATTCTTCTCATATTAAACTTACCAGTTGCCACATATCATGGGTGTTTAGTGTTTTTCTTAAACAAGCAAAGCCATTATTATTTAATTTATGCATTCCAAGAGTCTAAAACGTTATGCTTGTTATTTTGGGTAGCTACCCAACAGTAAATTTTAGGCAATTATGCTCTATAGGTGTGGATAGGGGTGGTCTCTTAACAAGTGATTATCTACTATTATTAACAATAATAGCAACAACTATGTGTTAGACCCTACACTGGATTTTGCGCACACACGCACCCATGTGCACACTCTCACTAATCTGATCTTTGACGACATCTATAAAATAAATATTTCCTCATTTACAGACCAAAAAACAATTTTGCAATCACATCATCTAGGCAGTGATAACCACAATTCCAGACTAAGGAAGAAAAGGATAGCTTGTTATCCACTTAGATGCTCCACTTAAAATTTTCAGTAGGTTAAAATTGTACTTAGGATAAAATCAAAACTTCTTTCTGTGTCTCGCCGGGAACCACAAAATCTGACCCTCCCTCTCCATACATGTTCGCCTCATTGCACTCTCACCTCACTAACGGAACTGCACCCACACTGGAATCCTTTCGGTTCTTCAAACACAATCTCTTTGCTGCCTTGGGGCATTTTCCGTGCTGTCATCTTCTCTTCCTACTTCTTCGCCTGGATAATGACTTCTCATCTTTTAGATCAGTTTAAGTACCAGTTTCCCAGAGAAACCTCTCTGGAGTATTACAACTAAAATACATTCTCCTCGCCACCCTGTCATTATCTACCAGAGCACCCTTACTGTTTCCTTCCAAGCACTTAGTGTGATTTGTATTTATTAGTTTACTTGCTCACTGTCTATCTCAGTGTGGGGAAGGGTATTCACTGTTGTATTCCTTGCACACAGCATTGTATCTGTATTCAGTAAATACCTTGTGGAACATTCTTTTCCTTTTTCTTAAAGTTAAGATATGACATTGCACCAGAATATTATATCTGTGAACAGAAGGTTTCCTAGAACATAAATGATCTGGAGTCTTAAGCTTTGGTCACAAAATATATTTCAATATATTTCTTGTTTTGTTTGTCTTATATTTAGCTGCCCATTTAAGTGCTTCAGTATAAAGAAACAACAACTACTTACAATTCAAAATCAAGGATCTGCTCTGACACAAATTTGAAAAGCATATTGGTTCTGGGGTGGGGCCCAGCCTTCTGTATTTTTAATAAGATTCCCAGATGATTCTGATTCATACCAAAGTTTAAGAACACCTGTTGAGTGTGTTCATAGTCCTGTTATAGGTCTACCTGTATCTAACCTTTTGTTTAATCCATGCTTGAGTATTTTATAACCTCATGTACTTTGTGACTTGGGTATTTAATGGGTATGTAATTACTTATTAATATATTATTCCTGCTTTTGCATCTCTTGTTCTGCTCTAGATGAGGCTTTGTTCTTTTAAGCTGCTATGATTTTGACATCCTGGGTTTATGATATAATTAGGAATAAGAAATACAAGGTAGACTTCATACAGTTATTTATTTTAAGAGTTTGATATTCACTAGATAATATATACTATTTATAGAATTGTTTTAAAATAAAACCAGTCATACTCTGGTTTCTCTTCAGATCGTATATATCTTTCGCCTTTTACTAAAATAAAACCAGTCATAAAAAGAAAGCAAAGTTCTTTTTATTAATTTGTAACTCTGCAAATATAAACTTTTATTGTGAGCAAATATCAGCTTCCAAATTTGTGGCTATTTGTTTTCTTGTTCTGTGGGCTTATATATTGCTTTAAATTGGTAATGTAATGAAAAACATTATTGCCCTCGAGAGGCAAATTTTACATGCATGCAATTATGTACAATTGGGAGTTTTGAGATGTAGTCCATTCATAATAAGTAATCTGTAATCCTTATTACTTCTTATCTTTCACCAGTTTTTCCCTTTAAACATTTTATGCCATGGATATATATAGAAAAATATGGTTTGTTGTATAGTAAAAGCAAATCTGCTATATTAAGATTATATTGTGGCAGATACATCTTCCAATCGTATTTATCAATGTTCAGATCCCTTCTATAAACAGCCCATGTGGTACTAGGAAGAAATATTTGTAACACTTCAGACACTTATTGTTACTTAAATATACATCAAAGTACAATCTGTAAACACTTTATGTAGACTGGGTTTTATCCTTTTTATTTAAATATGGAATAGAGACAGTTTTCTTTTTTTTAGTTTAAATTCAAATTAGCCCACATATCATTGGTTATATGATATAGTACTAATGATATAGTACATCATTAGTTTTGGATGTAGAGTTCAGTAAGTCATCAGTTGCATATAATACCTAGTGCTCATCACATTTTCATTTGATAATCTTTTAGAACTTTGCTTATTTGGAATTGCTAATATTCACTAGCAAAATGAATATTTTGCTAAAACAGGTTTTATACACAAAATACATTTCCCATACTCCTGAAAAGAAAACTCTCTCTTACCAAGTTCACCGTATTTGAGCTAAGGAGGTGGTAATCATAAAATAGACAAAAACGTGGCTATTTTATTTGTGATCTAAGTGACTTAAAACCCTTAGAAGACAACTGCTCTAAAACCCTTTCTATTTAGATTGTAAATGTCAACTTTTAGTGGTATTGTTGTCCGTTTTGAGAAACATTAGTAATTTTGATTTAGGTTCATCTGCCATTAACAATATTCATATTTTACCTAAAGTTAATATCACTCTTTAATGCTGAGCAAAATAACAAATGTACTTTCTTTATCTCACATTTATTTTAGACAAGTGAGAGTCCTCCTCAACTATTTCCCTCTACTCTGTCCTAAGATTTTATAGAGGTGAGATAATTTAAAATGCTCAATGGAGAGAAAGAACTTCATTTAAAGAATAATAATTCCTACATTTTTTATGTAAACACATTAAGTCATGCTATGCCTAAAATATATTTGAGAGTTCTATCAGCTACTCAGTTAGTAGTTTTACATACCCTACAGTGTTGAACAATAAACTGCATTTTGGTGTGAGCAAAATAGCTTTTATCGCTCTTCTGCACTCTAATTCACATTTTGATGGACTTTTGATGTTCCTAGATATCCGTGGAATACAGGAGTTTTTGGACAAGGTGTCTCAGCAGGGAATGGATGTTGCATTGCAGAAGGTAGAAAACAACATCAGTAAAATGATCACCACTCTCTTTGACACCTTGAGAATAGAGGAATTGAATCGCTATCGAGACACTCTTAGGCGAGCCATCCTTGTTATGAATCCTGCTACAGCCAAATCTTTCATCACTGAGGTAAGTAAAAATTGTCATGGGGTTGGAGTAGGGTTAAAAAAATTAAATGCTTTGGAATAGACCTCACAGTCAAGTTGAAAATTAAGAGCAGGATAAGGGAATTAACTACACAACTGTCATTAACACTAATGGAGGTAGGTAGCACACTGAATTCCTTGCTTGTGGCATCCATCCTGCACTAAATTTTCCCACATCCTGCACAGTTAACTGCTGAAAATGTTTGTATTTATATATTTAAGCACAAAGCCAGGATGATTTTAAGAAATGTCATGGGGGTTTAAAAATGTTGTTGACCCTGAATTACTTTAACACGTTCAAGAATAAATTCACAAGAGCACAATTCTCCATCTAATCCTTAAATTTTTGCAAGTCAGAATTTTACCTCTGAGAAAAGATATACTTGAACCAGGCTGTTATTGCCTGAACGTGATTACTTTTACAAAAACAAAGAGCAGATTTACTTCTGTTCTGTGAACTTTGTAGCAAGATGAATAATTAAAACTGTCTGAAACTCTTTGCAAAGTGATGACCATTGTACATTCTATGATGCTGCATCTTCAAAATTTTAATTGTATCTGTTAATTTGGCTAGAAGCTCCAAAACTTTGTAAAAATACGATTAAGACTTTTTAATGATTGGTGTAACATCTTTATGTTCTAAAATGCTTACTAGTGCCCTGACAGGATTATTGTCATTTGCCTTACTTCAAGTTTTTAATTTTGTATAGTGCTAGAACTGGTCATGACATTACATACTTTCACATGGGTTTTATTAGTAGTGTTTTTACTTTTGGTGACTTTATTTGACTAATACATTTTTCCTCACTTCTCTAGTAAGCTTTCTTTAGCTCCCAAAGTACTGCTATAAAGCCTCCAAATTAGGAATGTGTTAGAAATTCTTTGACACTCTATAATCTAATTGGTATCAAGGAACTGAAGCAGAATATAAATCACTGAGAAGAATAAAACTTTTGGAAAACTATCAATAACGCCATTTTTTTAACATTTTAATAGAGAACTTTGTTATGCTGTTAAGGACAAATATAGAACTTTGACCTTTTCTAATGCAGCAAATTACTCAGAGAGTCTTTTTGAACAACTAGGTCTTTCCACAGTAGAAAGAATATTTCCAATTTTGCAGGAGTTAGTTATTTCCTTCAAGAAACCCAAAATCTGCTGAAAATTTTAAGATAATTACACAAAGATATATAACATAAATTGGAATCTTAAAATTATAATAAGTGAGGTTGAAGCATCTATGGTCGTCTTTGGTTGGGGACTGTGGAGATCAGAGAACACTTCATTGAGAAGGCACATTTGAATTGTACTTATTATCATGAGTAGGAATTCATGAAAGAAGTGTGGTGTGCAACAGACAAATACAAGTCCATCCCAACTACTTTCTGGTCATGTCGGGTTAGCAAATTACCTAACATTTCTGAGCCTCCATTTTATCATTAATAAAATGAGAATAATATATTGATTTCAACTTATTAAATTTGTAATGTAATGAGACATCCTGTGATACACCTTAAAGTTGGGGAGAGGGAGGTAGCACCTAGTAAATACTTAAGACACGTTAATTTCTAGTTCATTTTTTCTAGCATATAGCACATGCCTGACCATAGCAGATGCTCAAAAAATACTTGGTGAACTGAAAAGAATATCAAGACTTGCAAAGACACAGTCCTTGACTGAGTGCTCAGAATAGAGCAAGTAGTTTTGTATAGGTTCAATATAGGATATGTGAAAAAGAGAAGTGACACGCACTATGTAACACATGGCTTTAAACCAGATGGCAAAGGCCCATGAGTGCCAGGTAACAATTCATGTATATTTACTAAGCAGTCAGAAGAAATGGGCTGAGAAGAGGGACAGATTACCAAGGGCTTTTGCCAAGTCATGATCTTGACTTGTATTCTGACCATGGCCCCCTATCCTTGACTCTGAACTTTGATACCTGTAATAATCTACTGTTTTTGTCTTTGTTCCTAAACATATAAAATCTATTTTTGTGAGTTTCCTGAGATTTCTCTTCCTTCCTCTACACTGACACCACTTTTTCCCCTACTTGCTTGTGTTTCACAATCGCTGAGTTTATGTCTCCAAACTGTACTAAGTTTATTTTATAGTCTCAAACAGTGATGTAAGAATGACAGAAAGAATGTGAACCCACTGCCTTCCCCATCCTAAGCTAGCTGTTTTCTCTGACCTGTATAGTGGTTCCCATTTTCAATTAACTGTTTTCAAATATCTCTCCTCTTTCTTCTGCTCACCCACGGGTTCTGGGAGCATTTCCTCACTTAGGAAAGAGACTAGCCCCTAAATACCAGAAACAATTAATTCAAAAGGCAAATAGCATGGAATTCAAATGACACACAGCACAAAAGTTCTGGAGATAGAAAGAATAGATTTTTTTTTTTTAAAGATTTTATTTATTTATTTGACAGAGAGATAGCGAGAGCAGGAACACAAGCAGGGGGAGTGGGAGAGCGAGAAGCAGGCTTCCTGCCGAGCAGGGAGCCCGATGTGGGACTCGATCCCAGGACCCTGGGATCATGACCTGAGCCGAAGGCAGACGCTTAACGACTGAGCCACCCAGGCGCCCGAAAGAATAGATTTTGTTATGTATGTTTATATGTGGTCTTTGTTCTAGGATAATGATGGCAACACTAGTTTCTCCAGTTTAGCCCAGATGGTCTGCTTGGATTTTGTAGACGAGAATCCTGTCTGTCTATCTATCTATCTATCATCTATCTATCATCTTTCTATCTGTCTATATGTATGTCAGCTTTCAAGGACATTTTGCATGAGCCAATGTGTGAGAAGGCCTTTGTGAAAATCAGTATGTGTTTAACTTGAATCAGTCCTCTTTATTCACTGATTCTGTATTTGCAAATTTGCCTACTCACTGAGATTTATTTGTAACTTGAAAATCAATACTAAGGATGTTTTCACAAGCCATTCACAGAAATGTTCAGAGCTGTGAAAAATTTGAGTTGCCTAAGGTTGCCAACTAAGGTTGAACAAAGCTGTGCTCTGCATTCTTGTTTCAGTTCTCATACTGTAAACAAATGTCCTTTTCGCAGTTTATTTCGTGTCTCCTTTTTTTTGCATTTTTTGGTGCCATTTTTTTTTTTGGTGATTTCACTGTTTAAAATGGCCTCCAAGTGTAGTGCTGAAGTGCTCTCCTTAACTGTGATGTGTCCTACTGAGAAAATACCTGTTCGATAAGGTCCATTCAAGCATGAGTACCCTTGGTCATGAGTTCAATGTTAACGAATCGACATGTTATTGTTTGAATGCTTGTGCTTGCCCCCTCCAAATTCCTATGTTGAAATCCTGTGCCCAATGTGATGGTTTCAGGAGGTGGGGCCTTTAGGAACTGCTGAAGTCCTGAGGATGGAGTCTTCATAGATAGAATCAGTGCTATTCTAAATGCTAAAAAGAACCCTGCAGAGCTCTCTAGCGCCTCCCACCAAGTAAAAATGCAACAAGGAGTCTGCAACGAAAAGAGGGCCCTCTTTTGCATGGTGCAACCATGCTGGCTCCTGACTGAACTACCAGCCTCCAGAACTGTGAGAAATACATTTTTGCTTTTAATAAGCTACCCGATCTATGGTATTTTGTTATAGCAGCCCAAATGGACTAGGACACAATAATCTGTATATACATATAACATATATTAATCATACGTACAGTATGTATTAAATATATAGATACTGTATATAAATTTAAATCTCTTCAAATAGAGACATAAATAAACCCAGAGCCTTGTAGGAACCAAACCCTGTATTTCCCCTAGGAGCAGTGGTTCAGCATTTATTAATTCAGTGTTCTCAGGAAATTTACAGAACGTAACTACTGGGAATGATAAGAATTGACTTTGCTCCCATACTTTTCAGCTCCCATCTCATTCCTGCCCTCCCTTTGGCTTGGCATTTGTCAAGTATCAAAATTTCTAGGGCTCTCTAGACTCCAGCCTCAGGACTTCAGCAGTTCCCAAAGGCCCCACCTCCTGAAACCATCACATTGGGCACAGGATTTCAACATAGGAATTTGGAGGAGGCAAGCACAAGCATTCAAACAATAAGAGATGAGAGGGCTCTCTGCTGCTGCCCCTTACAACAATAACTAGTCTGTGGCTTCTTCTACCATGTATCATCAGATAACACTACCTCATCTGCTTTTCTTTTTTCAGTAATTTACTTAAAAACACTTTTCTGATCATCTTTTCCCTTTTTCCTCATGGTTATTGGTTTATATACCTACACAACTCCTTATATTTTATTGGGGGTTTAGGGGACAATCCCTTTAACCTTTTGAGTTGGAAGTTCCAGAGTATTCTTTCAGATTTTTAGAGGTTAAAACCAAGCAAACATAAGGTACTTTAAGAACCATTGTTACAATTTTTAAGAAATATCTGAATAATGACATTTTAAATTTGGAACATGCAACATTTTGTCCAAATTCCAAATTTACAGTTGAAAAAACTAAAGGCCTCTCTAGATGCAATCAATATTGTTCTCTAACTTCCTCCACCAATGTTTAACACCCTTGCAGCTCATGCTGATTGTGGATGGTAAGGGACACTCACAGTTTGAAAATAGTAAAGTTGTCAGCGGGTCAAAGGGGTACACGATTGTCAGATCCTAAGAGAAGCATTTGTAGAAATAACTTACCAAGGATTATATGATGGATAGAAAGGCATATGAAGCTAGAAAGAAACTGATAGATTGGGATAAAAGGAAAGATAGAGGAAGTAAAGGTTATGATGAAGGCAGAGCCTGGTTCAGTAAGGACCTAAGAGAGGGAGAGAGGGAGAGGGGGAAATTCTAGGCAAAGAGGAGGGGATAGCAGAACTCTCACTTTTACTGCTTCCTACACATTATAAGTGGGCACAGAAAGTTGTTGAAATATTCAAAGGAAACATTAACCTCAAAGTCAAAAGAATGAGTTTTAAAAAAGAAATTGCTCACTTAGCATTGTCATTTAATTGCT